GGGGGATGTAGGGGCAGGGGTGCTCCTTGTTCCTCTGTCTTAGTTTCAGAAGGCCGATCAACCAAGAGTCCCCGGTGATAGTCCAGCTGTGGGCAGAGGGACAAAGACAGTCAAGACAGATCACACAATTCTCAATGAAGTTCCAGGGTTACAAAGAGAGGAGAAAAAAAACACAATCTTAGCAACTGCAGGTTTGGTGAGGGTCTCAGAATCAACCAGAATATGGCTGCCTCTGCCGATTTCCTCCTTTTCCTTAGGGTTCTCACCTCGTCTTGCTCAGCATAGTCAGCACAGAGGAATTTGGGGTTGGACTGGGGCCACTTGACCCCATGCAGAGCTGTACGGGTGGCAACCGCCTCCTCTACTGTTGAGTACTGATGAGGAAAAAGCAGAGAGATGGTGCATCTTTAGTTCCCTCTACTTGCTACAATGCCCTCAAATCTGCCCATACTGCTCATAAAAGTACATGACACAAACTCAAGAGTCAGTGCCTTTGCTCACCGTCACAAAGAAATGAGATTTGATCTTGTCAATCCAGAAGGCCTCTTCTACCAAAGTTCCTGTCCGTCCCAGTAATTCCTTCAGTTGGCCTAAAGTGAAGGGTCGAACCTGCCAATGAAAATGAATTTAAGGTCTTAAGATCTCATGTGTGGATGTTGAGAACTGAACTCAAGCCCTCTTAACTACCAAGACATCTCTCTAGTTCCCACCCAAAGTGTAAACCCTAAAGCAAAGGAGCCTACAATATGGAAACAATGACTTACCAAGTTGGAAATATGGACAATGTTACTGATCTTGCCCCTGGGTGGGGAGGGCACCTGGGCAGTCCGGACTGGGTCATCAATTGTAATGGAAACTCCAGACTTCTGCTGGCTAATGGACCTCCGGGTTAAGGTATCTCCTAACGTGACTAAGAAGAGAGCACAAGAGCAGCTGATTTCAGGAGGCAGCCCTCCTCACTGTGGAGTCTTGAACATTTTAAGATTCAAACCCAGTTCAAAGCAGTAACCGGGAGACGCCAGGCACAAAAACCGTGACATGTAAGGCAGAAGGCATCAAATGTCCAAATGATCCATCCACATGTGGTCCTCAGAGAACTGAGACAGCAGCCACACCTCACCCACCTTTCTTTACTTCATGCTCCACGGGTGGGGGTAAGGCCACCTCTACTGACACCTGGGGAGGTACAGGCGGCTCTGCTTCAGGTTCCTTTTCTTCTTCCTCTTCCCTCTGCCCATTCTCCTGGCCCTCTGCAGGTACTACCTATAAAGACATCAGAAGACAGAGGTGGTCTGTCATCACATTGGCATATTCTCTTCAGACTCTGGCTCCCAAAGAGTAGTAGTATCAACTTCACACATTCCTTCCACCATGGGAGGTTATTCTCCTTAACTCTCAACTCTTGTTTTATATGTGTTTTGAGACAGGTTCTATGGAGTCCTGGTTGTCCTAGAGATCAATATATGGACCAGACTGTCCTTGAATTCAGAGATCTGCTTGCCTCTGCCTCTGTGGAATTAAAGTCGTATGCCACACCATGCCTGGCTAAAAAACTTTTACTGAAAACAAAACATTTAATTATCTGTGTGCCTACATGCACACAGGCCTCTGTGGAAGTCAGGACAACTTTAGGAGCTCGATGTCTACCATATGGGTTTTGAGGAGGCCTGTCAGGCTTCGCAATAGGCTCCCTTGCCCCCCTACCCCCCAACAATCCTGCTGGCCTGAAATTCTTTGTCAACTATTTTAGGCTTTAGTTTTCAACTCTGGTGTTGTGGCACAAGCTGCTGAACAAGAGTAAATGACCTGGTACGGTTGTGTTCTAAGAAAATGTTCTTTGCAACTGGCAGTGTTTGGCATAGCATGAGCCCAGAATGTATCAATTAGCCCAGCACAGGAGTTCACTTCTAGGACTTTACCTCAGCTGTCTGCTCTTATCCATTGCCTCGCTCCTGATGCTGGGGTGCAGTACTTTTACCTGTGTGACTGTCCGGCATATTTTCAGTCCTTTGTCGTGCGTTCCATCTTCGCCATTACGCTCTGTCTCATCCTCAGAGATTCGGGAGTCATCAGCATGAAGATCCACAACAGCCTCCTGCCCCGCCAGGGGTTTGATGTCGGGGATGAGGCTCTGGGACACAGACACCCCCGCTACCCCGTTACACTGGGCCCATGTCTAACTCCCACCTGAACATATTTTACCCTCCCTTCCCTGGCTCCTCCCACCTCACCTTGAGTGATTCAGTGGTGATACTGATGGAAGGTTTCTTCTGTGTGGTGGCTGTGCTGGCTCCCCAACGTCGTTTTCGACCAGGCTGGCCCCCCTCTGTGTCACTGTTTCCAGCTTGCACCCCCTTGGTAGCTGCTGTCCCCAAGAAACAGGACCCAACAGTTAGATGGCCTCAGGCTCCCCGCTAGCTCAAACCACAACACTTGTAATTGCTTTTGGCTGGAGTTTTAGTAAAAGGTTAAGGAAAAAAAAATTTTTTTTTGGGGGGGGGGGGCAGAGAACTAAGGCTCAAGAATGAACAAAAATGATGTTCTCTCTTCCTTATAGATGGAAGCTATTTGTCTGTAAAAAGGAGAAGGGGGTAACTAGTTGGACAAACATTTCAGACTTTAAGTGGCAGAAAAACCAGGGGACACGAATACATTGCAAGACTAGGTGCTTCTATGACCATCTAATAATAAACAGAGTTCTTCCATCACCCGAGTGCCTCAGTGGGAAACAGTTAAAACAACTGTAAGAAGCACAATCATTTCCTAAAGTGTAAAATGGCAAGCATATGCAGGTGTCTCTCTGACTACAAACTCAAGGTCAGAGACCTGAAAGAACAACATTTCCCTAAGAGCTGGGTGTGGTACTACAGGCCTACAATCCCAGCTACCTGAGAGAATGTGGCAGGATTCAGTTTGAGGCCAGCCTGGTCTACATAGCAGAGACCTTGTTTCAAAAGTAAGTAATAAGAAGAGAATAGACTGGAAATGGTCTGGGGTACAGCACTCTCCTTAACTGTGGTTGGGGCTGAGGAAACTGCTCAGTTATTGCTTGCCTAGCATGTGTAAGGCCCTGGTTCAGTACTCAGTAACACACACACACACTCACATGCACACACACTGGTAGCTAGAGAAACACAATAGGACTGGTTCAAAGGGGAAAAAAAGGAATCTATACGTGTAAGAAAGGCAAAGACTTGTTAGGTGGATGGGGCAAGGGAGAACTGCCTCCCACCAAGAATGCTACCGAGAGTAAATGCGATTCTGTTAATCTGCCAACAGTTTCTATAACTTTTGCCAGGGATTTGGGGCTAGACTTACAGACAACGGAGATTTTCCTCTTGAATGATTTAGGCATCGAACTCTGTATGGAGAAGATAAGGAAGAAAGAGAGAGACACCCCACAGAGAGGGGGGGAGGAGGTTAAATGGGGCAATCTTAGCATAAATGCCAAAGACACACAGAGACAGAGAGAGAGACACCAACAGATAGAGACCAAAACAGAAGCAGCAAACGGCAAAAAACGAAGCAGAATCAATGCAAGTTAGAGGAAAAATTAAAACCAAACATCATAGGGAAACTCATCTACTTCATTTCACATCAATGTATTAGCTTTACCAGAAATAAGCTGGAAGAGGAAGGAGTTCAACAACCTCCCAGCTACTTAATTCATTTTTTTTTTTTTTTTTTGGAGACAGGGTCTCACTACGTAGCTTAGCCCTTTAAAGTTGCCCACCATGCCCTCTTCAACTGTATCTAAGGGGCGAGGACACCAAACCCAATGGAGCTTTGCCCAGACCTGGTGATCGGGTCCTCCCAGGTTTTTACTTGCTAATTTGAAAGATACAAGAGAATCAACTGTTAAGATGGCAACTTCAACAACTTTCCTTTACTCCATGCCCAGTCTGACATCTTGACAGGACACGGGGATGCTTGAAGACCAGCCAGACTAACACCACCACGAGAAGAATTACACTAGGTTCACTGAAGATGAAGATCCTGAGCCAACAGCTAGCAGAGAATCTAAAACTATCTCCTGTGTAAGGAGGTTCTGGTCAAGGGCAGACAGCCCCTGGGGAAGCCCAGCACCTCCAGCCACCACCCCTGCTCGCTGCAGCAGAGCCTTACCTCTACCCTTCAAATAGAGCCCATACCTCAGGGTCTCTGGCTAAGGACCAAAACCAAAACACCCCAAAAGACAGATTTGGGCAAGCCTCTTCCCAGACACTCAGTGGGAGTAATATCACAGACAGAGCTAACGTGTGTGTGTGGGGGGACACCTTAAGATTTAGGTGCTTATTTCTGGAAAAACTAAGACCGTCCTGCCACCCAGCCTTCTAAAGGGCAGGGCAGAGCCCTCTTAACCTTTCCCACCCACCCCCAGCCCCACATGTGTCATCTAACCAAGTCGCTGTCAAGGGCCAGCCTGACCCCTAGCTGGGTTGTTTGTGATGGGTAAGTTAGTGAGAAAAGGGGGGAAAAAAGTCTTAATTAAAACAAGAAAAACACAAACCAAATAAATAAACCCAACAAAGAAATCAGAAAAATAAAGAAAAAAATTAAAATAATAGATTAAAGAAGAAATAGAAAATAAAGAATAAACTAGGAATATGACAAATGTTCCAGGTACCATCTCACACCTGGGATCTTCAGTTCAGCCAAGCACTCCTCACT